ATGACATGAACTGATTGGCCTGTTCTTTGATCACCTCCCCCTGAGGGGGGGGAGCAGCCTTACCAGGCCACAGAGAAGACAATGCAGCCATACAGGATGAGACCTGATAGACTAGGATCAGAAGGAAGGGGAGGAAGACCTTCCCCATCAGTGGATTTGGGGAGGAGCATGGAAGGAGAAGGGAGAGGGAGGATGGGGTTAGGAGGGGAGGAAGGAGGTGTTTATGGGGGGAATCAAAGTAAATAAAGTGTACTTAATAAAATTAAAAATGAAAAAATAAAAATAAAATCAACAACAAAAAAATCTTAGAGGGCACAATTCTCAGAAAAAAAACTACACACACTCAGCCTCAGTGCTCCACAACATCAGTGTGTTTTAGGGGAATTGTTGGGAAAGGTTTTCTTAGACATGGACTCAGAGAGTGAAGAGTTTCTGGCAGCACTGACGTAGCTGGAGTTTACTATGTGTTAAATTAACTTTCATCTGCTCTACCTAATGAACTCCTCAAAGCAGTTTATGGTATAGCATGCGTATGGACCCCATTTGACAAATACACGGAGTTTAACAAATTACTCATAGCACTATGAGCTAATGGAGAGGCCAGTTTTTAAATCCAGCAGTTACGACTATGACTGCAGAGGTCTGAACTTTGCTCTCCTATCATATACATGTGGTACTTTCAGGAAGCTGTACTCTTATTTATAGACAAAGCATGCGGAGTGTATGATGATGTAACTAGAGGATGGGGAAGGAATCACCAAGCTATTAGAGTAGATTAAGGGCCCGGTCATCCGTGAGGTCGGTGAAGCACTGTCATCAGCTTCTGAAAGGAACTGGCACTGGCAATGCTGTGCAGAGCTAGCTTTTCCTCTGAGTCTGAGGGTTATGGCGGATCCCTGCTATATCCCCACTACATACTGACTATAAGGGGTTCTTACTACATTACATGTGCAGAGCCATTGCCCGGTTTCCTGTTTGGCCACTTAGTGAAATCCCTTTAGTCGTCTGCACTGACTAGCTAGTTCAATAATCTTCTATACTTTTTCTGTATCAGATATCTATATCTATATATATATCAGTAAAGTTTCCATCTGTATCAGATATCTATCTATATCTATCTATCTATCTATCTATCTATCTATCTATCTATCTATCTATCTATCTATAGATATACATCAGTAAAGGTTCCATCTCCTGAAACAGATGCAGAGACCCACAGCCAAACAATAAGCTGAGGTCAGGGAGTTCTGTGGAAGAGTGGGAGGAAGGACTGGGGGAGCAGGAAGTCTCTAGGACACCACAAGAAGACCACAATTGGCTGGACCTAGACACCCTACACATATGTAGCAGATGTACAGCCAGGTCAACATGTAGGTCCCTAACAATGGGAGTAGGGGCTGTCTCTGACTTTATTGCCTGCCTTTGGATCCCTTTCCCTTAGCTGGGGTGCCTTGACAGGTCCTAGAGGGGAAGGATGGGCTTAGTCCTGCTGTAACTTGATGTGCCAGGGTGGGTTGGTACTTATGAGAAGAGGAGGGAAGATGGGAAGAGGGGACATGAGGGTGGGACTGAGAAGGGGCTGGGATCAGGCCATAAAGAGAATAAATAAATAAACAAACAAACAAATAAATATTTTTAAAAGGTTCCATCTCCTGCATGTGATGAGCAAAGCTGGTTATCCCAGAGACACAGGATCAGAAAAACAGCACCTTTGTCCTAATGAAGATTTATCATTTATAATTTTTAGTCTGAGATATGCTAAACACTTCAATAACTACCACTTTCACTAAAAAAGGGGGGAATTCATTAACTAACACCCAAGCACTTGTGGGGTTGGGGGAGTCACTGTGGTAGTTCTTATTTATATTCTAGGACCTGTAGTGGTAAGGCAAAAGGATCGTAAGTTCAAAGCCAGCCTGGGTCTCATTGCAAGACCCCTGCCTCAAAGAAAGAAGAAAAAGAGATGGGGAAAGGCTCTTAGAAAGGGTCTCACTTGCTCCTCCTGAACTCAGAGGAAGCTACTGTGTATTCAGAGAGAAGCAAACCACACCAAGCATGGTCTGAGCCCAGTCCATCAGTTTATTTTTAAACAAAGGTATATATACACTATATGAAATAAAGATAAGCTTGGCAAAGTTTTATTTGTGCTCCATTTTCCCCTTTTGTTTTTATGTATGGGAAGACTCTAACATGATGATTGTCTTTGAAGATAGGAAAGCAAATAAAAAAAATCCTCTGCGGACACTCATAGCGGTAGCTTTCAAGCAAATACGTGCTGAAATTAACCTACAAAAGGGAAATTTCACTTTAGTCTCCAGTAGGAAGCTAGGAAGTCTCACTAGCCTAGATCTATTCTTTTAATCCGAAGCTCCTTTTGTCCTTAAACCCATCATTTATGGGTGCTGTGTCAGAGCGGGTGCTTCCGATGTCTCTAAAATACTCTGCATTATTCACTCAGGGCACAACTGGGGCAGCTGATGTACTATCCCAGAATGCACATGCTGGGAAGATTAGATACCCAAGTTCCCTGTGATTGAAACAAAAACTTTGATCTCAGGAATTGTGTTATCTGGTACTTTGTAGGATCCATAATCTTAAAGAAAAATAGTTTCCAATGAATTAATAATGGCTTGAGTCTCAACCCGCTGCAGCAATTTTCACTGCAGTGGTTGTTTCTTTTATAGTCACACTTGATTAGTATTTGAAATGTGGAGGAATTGCAATATGCATGGTTTTCAAAGCCCTTTACAGAATTTCATTTTATCACTCAGAGAGAGTCAATGAAAACGTAATAAGAAAAGCTCTATGGGATATTTTTATAGAAGTGTCAGAAGCCAGTAAGCTAACTACTTGAAAGAACTCAGATTGTACAGACAGGGTTTGGAGCAGAAACACTTCAGAGACTTTAGATCTAGTATTTTGACTTTTATATGTCCTTGGAGAAAAAACTGTACTCGCTACAAAATCAAATAAGGAGGGGGTGGGGAGGGACACACCATATGCCTAAGAATAATTAATTTCAATTTCCCTGCAAACTAAATGAGAAGTTTTGAAGATAAGTGTCATAGGAATTGATCTGGTTTGGTTTGTCTAAAATATTGCCAAAAAAGAGAAAATCCTCATTTCCCTTGCTAAGGCTTGCCAGAGTCCCACCATATGGAAGTTAGTCTGGTAGCTTAATTGATTGTGATCAGTCCTTCACACGCCCATTTGCACTTTATTTTGCCTTCAGTAGAGATGGAAAATGCCACATCACCATCTCTACAAAGTAAACCGTCATAAATCAAGTCTGCATTTGCTCATAATTTTTAATAATTATATTAATTCTTTTAAATAACATTTGTATTTATTATTTGGGAATTTAACATCATGAACCCTGAGTATCCTCACTTCCCAGTCCTTCTAGGCTGACTCCCACATTTAGGACCCCCCCACTATAAAATGAAAGGAGAAAAAATAATAAAAGACAAAAAAAAAAAAAAAACAAGTCCAATTTGTGTTGCCCACATACTCATGGTGAAACTCCTAGTGGCCAGCCCCTTAATGAAAGCTGAGTCCTCTCCCACCAGCACCCTGGCCAGAAGCCATCAGATGAGGAGAGCTACACTCCAGCAACCCTATCAGATTTTCCTCTTCTTCTCTCATATTCTATATCCTGACCAGAGTTTCCCTTTCCTCTCCTCCTCCCGGTCTTGACGAATTGTACAGTATGTATTTTGACAATATTATCGCAGCTCTTTCCCTTAATTCTTCTCAGATCACCTCCACCTCATTTCTGACCCCAAACCGGTGATGACCTTTTCCTAAATGTATTCACCTAGTAACCCATCGATTTTAATTTATGCTGTGTATATAGTTCTGGGCGTGGAGCCATACCCTGGAGTGTGATCAGTCTACCTGGAATCACACCCTTAAAGAAAATTGACTTCCTCCTCCTCCTCTGTCCAAAGCCCCTCAGAAAGAAGTAGGGACTGATAATCTTTTTCCCACTCCATGCTAAAGTGATGCTTGACTTGTTCTTGTGCAAGTCTTGTACAGGCAACAGTCCCTGGGAGTTTATGGGCATGGTGGTGCTGTTATGACCAGAAGACACTGGTTTGCTCTGATCCTCCCCAAACTCTGGGTCTTACCATTCTCACACGCCTTCTTCCGTGATGATCCCTGAGCTTATTATGGAGGGATACAAGATCTAGAAGTCCCCTTTGTGGCTGAGCTCTTGTCAGTCACTTACTCTCCGCACTTGAACTGTGAGTTTTATCCACTGGATAAAGAAACCTCTCTGTGGCAGGGTCTGAGAACTAGTTAAAGCTTGGTTCTCTTAATCTCTTTTCAACCTGTTAAACCTTCCCCACTCACTCATCCAGAAAAAAATATGTTGATTGGGGCCTAGGGAGAATGCTGAGTTATCAGAGTGCTATGAAGCATCAGGGCCTGAGTGTAGAGAGCATAGAAGACCCACATGGAAAGGCCAGAACACTGACATGTGTAACTCCAGGGCTGGACGGGCAGAGACAGGCGAGTCCCCCACTAGTCAGCCAGTGTGGCTGAACCGAGAAGTTCCAGATTCCATGAGTGATCCTGTCTCAAAAAGTAAGGTGGTGTGCTCCAATGACGGCTCAGTGGTTAAGAGTATTTGAGTATTGCTCTGGAAGAAGACCCAGGTTCTCTTCTCAGCACCCATAGGGTGATTATGAACCTCGTAACTCCAACCCCTGGAGATCTGGCACCCTCTTCTGGCCTTCCAGGGCACTGCATGCGTGTGGTACACATGCACATACAGGCAAAACACCTATTCACACAAAATAAACAGATTTATTTATTTATTTGTAAAAAGATGGAGCCCCAAGAAAGATTCCCAACATCAAACTCTGGCTTTTATATACATGGTGAGTATTCCAAATAACATAGAGGCATGAAATTGTGTCTTGTACCCTTGTCGGACAGGTAGTTGAAACAACATTGTACGGTATAACTGACCTGCAGAGTCATGTTGGTGCTTGCTACTGCAGAGGCCCATGCTTGCTCTGCTGTCTCTCTACAGCAGCCAACTCATTCAGAAAACCGGCTGGTACTCTTGAATCCAGGCCACCTTGATCTGGGTCAGGTTTCTTGGATCTGTCTACATGGTGAATCTGAAACGACACAGTCCGAAATAAATGCCTTCTAGAGACATGACAAGGAAAAAAACATTTATCATATGGCAAGTCATTCCTGTTTGTCTGAAAAAGTACATTCTATATGCCAAATCAAGTTATAAATCATACGTTTCTCAATATAGTTTAGTAATCTCAGTGCAGAAGTTTTGAGGTGGACAACTGTGGAGAGCAAAGAGTTCTAGAACAGGCAACACTCTTCCAAAGTGATTTGCATGTATTACCTTTTCCTTATGTAGTTTATAAAATATTTTACATTTAGAACATTCTTATCCAACTGTTACCCTCATCGTCAGGCAATCCAGTACTTTGCCATATATTGCAGAAATAGATATCAGTTCTTCATTAGCTTCATTTTTCTTAAGCTTATTTTTATTTTTAAGTTTTCTGTGTATTTGAGTGTTTTGCCTATGTGTTGTGTGTGTGTATGTATGTATGTATGTATGTATGTATGTATGTATGTATGTATGTATGTAGTATGTGCACCACCTGCACACATGCCACCCATGGAGGCCAGAAGACAGCACTGTATCCCCTGGAACTAGATTTACAGACAGCTTTGAGATGTTATGTGTCTGCTCAAAATCAAACCCAGGTCTTCTGGAAGAGTAACGAGTGCTCTTAACCACTAAGCCATCTCTCCAGCCCTACTTATCTCTATGCTTTATTTAGAGGAAATCTGAATAGCTCCTCTGAATTTATGAACATTTAAATCAGCAGTTGGCAAATTTCACAAGGTCCTGACCAATTTGAGAATAACAATTCATTATAATGATGTATTATTCGGGCACAGCATCAATTGCCCCTATAATGCATTGTAAATAAGAGATGTCATAATGTTTGACATTATACTGACACATTGTATACTTCAAAAGATTCATCAGTTATGATTCCCAAACTCAAGACCTAAGGGGAAACTTAAACTTCAACCTTTTGTTTCATAATCAAACCCAGACTAGAAGCTTATTAGTCTGAATGTGGTTATAAAATATTAGCAGATTTCTAGTCAAAAATAGCTACTCAGTTTTGGCCAGTCACATTAACCAATTTGGCACCGAGAATAAGACAATGATCTTTTCTTTAAAGCTCTTCATACAGATAGGTATAGAATTTAAAACAGTAAAACTTGGTTTTATAGAATGGAAAACTTACAAAATTTTGGAAATAATATAAAAAGAAATGGGAGTCCTGTATAATGACCTGATTCACTCAGGCTAACAAAACAAATGGTGGGGCTATAACTCCTGGCCATCAGAACAGGATTTGTGTCAGTCTGTTATTCATTGGTTCCGTTTGTCAGGACAGAATAGTGATCACACTGATGACTACAAATCTGTTGCATTCATTTTATCAATTTTTGCAAGTAGTTTTGAAATGCCCTGCTGCCTTAAGTTTCGGCTTGCCCACGAGGCTTCTCTTGAATCAACAGGGCATTGACACATCTGGAGGCTTAAGAAATATCCCCAATACTGTTTATTTGCTCAGGCCTGCATTTCCATGAAGTGATGAGACCATGTTCAGGCTGGCATGAGGGAAGCTGACTGTGAGCTGCAATTTAGTTAGGTTACCAAATTGTCTAAGCTGAAGAAAGACACAGCTGTAGGGGTCCATGACTCTTAGGATACACTAGTTTAGACTAACAGAAACAACTCAAGCTGTCTCAACCCCACAGAATCCTGAACCCATTAAATGTGATTTGAATAGTATGCCATAATTTTTCCTGCTACTCATGTAATATTGTGCAGTGACAACTGTTTTCTTCAACAAACATCTATCCGAAACATTATCGTGTGACAATGCAAATACATGACAGTCTTAGACTGTCAAACACAAAGTTTCAAAATGATTGTGAATAAAATTAAAATAATGTGGTAAGTCATGTATTGATGATTTGCAAATCCCCTCTCTAATACCAAAACATAGAAACTTAGTGATCCTACCAGGGACAGCTCAAAAGATCATCTTGAATACTGACAGTGAGCAGAAGTATTTACCATCATCTTGCAAATATTCAACTAACAAGTCACAAAAAGTATAAATCACTAACTTAATACAAAAATTTTAATCTGTTGCCAAGCCAGTATCATCAGTTTTGGAAAGATTAAGATTCAACATGCACGTAGCCTTTTGATTTTGGACTACATGTTTTTGGAAAATATATTAATGCCAGGATGGATATTAAACCATAGCTTCTCAGTACTGAGCAATAAAGTAGACTAATGGACAAACTAGCTTAATGATTTTTTTTCAAACCGAATTCAACTGATAACATTAAAACACCGAGGGACCCTGAGATGGTAGTGGATAAATGCACTTGCTGGAATGCACTGGAATGCACTCCTGGTGACCTGCATTTGATCCCTGGGACACACAAGCTCATATTTGACTAGTTTATATTTGACTCATTCACAAACTACAAAAAAACCAAAACAAGCCTGTCGGTTGTTCTCTGACCTCCAATTGTGCACCGTGGTATGATTCATTCCCTCTCCTTCTCTCAGACCTACACAAAACAAATAAGCAAATGCCTCCATATATTTAAACAAATGGATAATAAAAACATCGGTGAAAATCCAGCAGTTTGTGGAAATCATGAATGCTCTACTATCCTCCAAACTCTAAAGAAGAAATATTAGACATTCTTAGTTTGAGACATTTGCCATAGAATCCCAATGGAAAAAAAAAAATAGCCAACCACTCGTAATGAGTCAGTGATTATACTTTTATATGCATTTCTTGGTGCAAACACTTGCAGAATTAGATATTTTAGAAACACGTTGGCATTTCATGTTAGTAACACCTTTCTACTGAAAGAAGCTAAGCAGAGTCTCTTCTAGTGAAGCCCTGCGGGGTCTTCAGACTCTGTACTTTATTCACAGCCAGGTCTATCCCCAGCATGTAACCTCAAAGGAAATGCATGGCCCTGAAGTCACTGGCTCAGTCACATCCACTTATCCCTTCAGACTGGGTTTCAGTGCTGTGAGTCTGAGTTCCCACATCATAAATTATATTTATTTTCTCCAACAATAAAATTCCCGTGTTATTTTGTTGTTGTTGTTGCCCAGTTGGCTCCTATTAACCCTCCACTCTTTCATTTCTCTCTCCCTTTTGCTTCAGGGCTCACAAGCTTCACCCCACATTGAACTTATCTTCTAGAACACACCTTCACACATTGATGACAAGGGGAACCAGAGACCCAGTAGCTCTGTGAATGACAATAGCCACATTCTAGTTATCCTTGGGTTGATGGTCCCCTTGCCCTGAGTCCTTGCCACTGCATTCTTACTTTCTGCTGCTTTCATATGCCCATCATCTAGCTATACACTGTGTCTTTTTTGTTGCTAACATTTGCCTACTGATCTCTAATTGCCATGAATCCTGGATTGATGTTGCCCCGCCCAGTTTTAGTATGGATATAACTCTGAGTGACATTCTCATCTACATCTCATTCGACACCCCAACTGTCTCCTCATCATGAGCAATCTTTTCTCTATCTCAGCATTTCATACATCAAACATGTATTTCAAATCCTGTGCTTTTAAGCATGCTAATTATTGCAATCATTGAAGACACATAATTACATAGTATCCCATATATCTCTCATTCAAATTGCACCAGTCAATCACCTATAGAAATTACAAGCAAAAATGATGGTTATATTAGATAAAGTGAGAATCTAGAACTGAGTGTGAACACAGAACCCTGGGCATGAGGAAACTGCCTGATAGCTGAAACCGAAAAAGGAGAGGCCACTGTGCGGCACTTCTTGGATTCAAACCTTCAATTGAAGATGGAGTCCAAAGGAAACTGGCAAAATGAAAATGTGTGAAAAGAGGAGAGAAATTGGCATGGATCTGGAATGGCATGCACCAACCCTTTGTCTCAACGCCATAATTACACAATCAAAAATAGATCATTTGTTCTGTGGGATTTCCAATTAACTAACCATCAGAATCTTGACTGACAATATTAAAGGACCATTCCATTACTTCCGATGCTATTCCTTTCTATGTTTTAAAGGCTTATTTTTAGTTTTAATTATATATGTATAGGCAGGCTGACTGTCCATGCAATATCCTCGGAGGCCAGAACAGAGTACCCTTGTAAAAGAACAATCCCCTTCAAACTGATGTGATTTTAAAGAAACCAGTTTCTCAGTTTTCATAAACAACTGCTCTGTGCTGATGTCTGGTCTGTTTCTCTTCAGAAAGTAAACTTAAGTGGTAACTCTGAAGAAATGTCCAGTGATATTTGGGGATTTCTCTACTAACTCTCTTCCTCTCGTTTCTCAACCTTTGTACTCTGATCAAGTGAAACCATCTTCCTGAGAAATAGTAGTTCTTAGACAAGAACACTGATTTTGAGACTATGCATTACAATTCTCCAACCATGAGAAATGGAGGCCTTTCGCGTCCCTACTGGCCCGGAATTCTTGAGAAGTGAATGCAGGCTTCAGTGCAGACCTTCTTAACTCTCTGCAAGTCAAGGTTTCTTTTTGTTTGCTTTGTGTTTGAATGCCTATAAATAATTTAATGATGGGAGATTTCTTTAAGTTTAAAAAAAATTAGTAAGAATCTGGAAGTTCTGAACGTAATTTTTCTTCTTTGTCTTGTGCCTTTATTTGTGTGTTCTCCTTGGTCATGTGGCTTCAGCTCAATAAATAATTTAGATTACCAAATGGGCTAAAACAGCAAGAAATTTCTCATTATGCATTATGAGACTCTAATTTAACTTGATTTTTCTGGTAAAAGTATTTAAGCAAAAAGAACACAAACTGTGAAAATTAATCTAAAACGGACCATCCGTACCATCCTGTTTTTCAGACAATATTCTAAGGTTTCACACATTTATCCATATACAGTGTCAAACCCCCTTCTCCTTCTCCACATGGAATATAATCTTTCTCAAACCGGCGGGGGAAGGGCACATCTGAGATGCTTCTACTGGTTCTAAAACAAGCTGTCATTTGGCATCTTTCA